ATGTGCTTCCAAAGACTTCTCCAAAAGAGTCAAAAGAGAACCTACAGATTGGGAAAAAATATTTGGCAGTGATATATCTGACAAGGGACTTATCTCTAAAATTTATAGAAAACTCCAACACCTCAATAACAAAAAGACAAATAATCCAATTAAAAAATGGGCAGAAGACATCAACAGACACTTCACCAAGGAGGATATTCAGGCGGTCAACAAACATATGAAGAAATGCTCATGATCATTAGCCATTAGAGAGATGCAAATCAAAACAACGAGATACCATCTTGCCCCATCACTAGTAGCAAAATAACAAATGCTGGCGAGGATGTGGAGAGATTGGGACTCTCCTACACTGCTACTGGAACTGTAAAATGGTACAACCACTGTGGAAAGCAGTAGGGCAATTCCTTCAAAAGTTGGAATTAGAAATACCATTTGACCCAGCCATTCCATTATTAGGTATATATCCTAAAGAAGTGAGAACCATGACAAGAACAGATATATGCACACCCATGTTCATTGCAGCACTATTTACAATAGCCAAAAGATGGAAATAACCTAGGTGTCCACCAACTGAGGAATGGACAACCAAACTTTGGTACATACACACAATGGAATACTATGCAATCCTAAAGAATAACCTAGAATCTGCAAAACACCACATAACATGGATGAACTTGGAGGATATGATGCTAAGTGAAATAAGTCAATCACAGAAGGACAAATATTGTATTAGTCCATTATTGTAAAAGTTAAGAAAAGGTTATCTATGGAAGGAAATTTTCTTTGTTGGTTACCAGGGGTGGGACGGGAGGGGAGAGAACAGTGTTAGATAAGTAGAGATAAGTATTGATTTGAATGAAGACAAGGGCAATGGACCAAATGGGAGTGATCAACATGGTGGCATCGGGGAAGAGGAAGACAGAGAGAGGTACATGGGAGGTACAGACAACAAAGATGAACCCTTTTGCACATACAGTACTCCATTGTCAGTGAAGGCAAACATGGGTATACAGGTGGATAGATGGGTGGACAGGCTGAACTATTAGGTATGTCTACAAAGTGGGAAGTGTACCCAAGACCATGTATAAGGTTGGCAGACAATGGTCCTATAAGGGTATTTGTATGATCTGAATTCCCAGCTGTATAGGAGAGCTGAAAAGGGACAAGGTTGTAGTCACTTCTTGGTCACAGCCAGCTACCCAGAGGGACCAAGTAGTTGAACCTGTGGGCTCGGGACCATAGTCACAGGGGACATCAAGCTCAATTGGCATAACATACTACACAAAATCATTTCAGGAAGTGGCATATGATCTAGAACCAATGGTAA